GTCCTTCTGTCATTTGTTTGTAAAATAAGGCCTTCATCAGTCCCCTTTTCTTTCACTACTGAGTTCTTAAACTTCTGTTCTGTTCCCAGTGGTTAGTGGGCCCAGAGTTCGAATTCTGGATGGTGGACCTCTTCTGATCCTGTCCACTTCTCTCTCTTTTATTTCATATGACCGTAAGATTACAGAAATTAAGGCAAAGATGGGGAAAAAAAAAAAACACTAAAGAAAAATAAATGATGGAGAGCAGGAGTTCTGTTTTCATATATTGCTGTCAATTTTTTTTACATGGAAAAGCGCTCTGTCAACACTGAAGACTTCAGCTCTTCACTCTATTCATCTTTAAAGCTGCTTAAAGGTTCTATGATGTCTCTAATGATTCCTAATGTTGCCAGATCACCTCAAGGCATCAGATGTCAATTCTTTGTTTCCTTCTCTTTCTTAGTCACAACTGCACAGACAGCTTGTTGCTGGATAGATATCTATCTGGAAAGTCTATCTACCTTATCAAAGGTGGAGTTCCAGCATGTAGGCGTATTATGAACAAATTTTTGTACAGATAGGTTTAAGGAATTTTGTTTTTCAACAGTTTGTTTTTTCTTTTTTTTTTTCTTTAACTGAAAAAGGCAGACATGGCTGTCTGGAGCCTGAACTGAACACTTGAGACGTGGGTCAGACGTCAATATAAAAACCCAGTATACTTTAAACTAAAGCTGCGTTACACCCCACATTTAGGGTAGATTCACACTAGCACTTTTAATCTGCACCCTGTTTCGTTTGACGTCAAAGTAGTATGGTGTGTTTGGCTAGTGTGAACGTGTCTTCTGAACTCGAGTGGGTGCCCGTGTCTGCCTAAAAGAGCTGGTCTGGGGTACAGTTCATGCGAACTCTGGTACAATTCACATCTGAAATAAGTGAATCAAATAACAGAAGTGAACCGCTAACTGAACTACAAACTTTAGTTTTCATAATGTTCATTCTAGGGATGCTCAAAATAATCAATTGACCGTTAACCAAAAGGGTGCGTTTGTAACAGATTAATGGTATCAGACAGTTAAACGATTAAAATAGATTTTTATATATTTGTAGAGTTTGGCTGCATAAGAGGCTGATCGAATGCGTTTTTTTGCATTAAGAGCGGCATCTTTTGAATGGTTTATTAAAAGCCGCAAGTGTTTTGCATGCAGCTCATCCTAGAGCTGCTGTATTTGTGTTCTCAAGACAACTACAGAGAACTTTTAAAGAGCATGGTTCCCGCTACATTCATTTTAAAGGTAAGGGAATTATAACAGCGCAAAGTTTACTGTAACCGTATAGTGCTGTGCGTTATTTATTAAACCCTTTGAGGTGACGTGCTGACTGACTGACAGGTGCGTGAGGCTAGTAAACACGACTTAGCTTTTTTTATTCTATTTAGTTTTTTACTTCAGGACGCATTAATCTCGCTCTGCAGGTCTATTGGAGACGTTCAGAAATATTCCTAGCAAATCTTATAAATGTTGTAGACATACTGGCTACATCAGGGGTGGCAACCTTGTTCCTGGAGAGCCACCTTCCAGCAGATTTCAGTTGCTACCCATATCAAACACACCTGAACCAATTAATTAGGACCTGAACACCACGTGATAATTACAGGCAGGTGTGTTTGATAAGGGTTGCAACTGAAATCTGCAGGAAGGTGGCTCTCCAGGAACAGGGTTGGCCACCCCTGAGCTACATAAACGCTCTAAATTGCGCTAAAACACCCTTAAACGCGCTAAAAGGCGTTTTTGGAATGGAAAATCACGTTTTCCTAAACAGCAGGGCATTAAATAATTTTTTACAAAAAAATTAATTATAATTTAATATTAATCTGACCAGTTAACCGTTAATATCCAATTAATAAGCTGCGGTTGTAGGTTAGCAAAATTAACCGAAATGAGCATCCCTAGTTCATTCATGTCGTCGTATCATCTACCTTGGCGACAAGCGGGGCTTACCCAGGTTAAACGGTGATGATGTCTGCTTGTCTCCACCAAAAACCCTTTCAAAAGATCCTGCGATGTCTGCAGAATGTTTTTGCGGCAGACAGATGCAAGTGGCTCTCTGTATTTTGGTTTTGGTAACAAAACCAAAAGATTCAATAAAAGCTGACTGACAGTGATATGCGGACATCTCCAATTTAGCCACTTCAACAGCAGCTGTTCCCAAAACAGCAGCTTGATGATGCAAGCATACTGGGGTTTAGGAGGGAAAAAAGATGGTGTGAACACAAGCTGTGAAGGTGGCAAGAGAGACGATGAAAATTGAGCTCTGTTCAGGCAATTGAATCAAGAGTGAAAGCACCCTTAAGTCTGATTTATACTTCTGCGTCAATCGCACGCGTATGCTATGCGCACCTCTCAAAAAATTTAACTCGTAGCGCAAGCTCTGTGATTAGTGAGCTTGGTATAAATGCACGGCTTTGCGCAAGGCTCGCGCCGTGGGTCGCGCCGATCACTTGATGCAGAAGTTTAAATCAGTCTTTAGACATCCACTTGCAAATTTCCCCTCAGGGGAATCTCTGCCGCCATTTTAAAGTGCATTCCGCTTTGTCAAGTGTACAAGGAAAGTTTACATTTACAGTCTCTCAATTTTGACTGTGTTTATGTACACTCCAGCACCTATTGTATGTCACACAATGCACAATACAATGTGATTGAGACGTCACAACAGAGACATTCATTCGCAGTGTATATTAGATTTAAAGTACTCAAGGGTTTAGGGCATTTCATTTAAACCCATTCCACCTGTAGAGGACACTTGTGTTAAGTAACCAGTGACTTAAAGCTGAATAAACAAGATGGAGGTACGTTGGTGAGTGAAGGGCATACAAATTTGGACTAGAATTCAGATGTTTTTTGTTATTCTTTGTTTGAGGGGAAAAAAGAAGTTTGAAAAGGCAGAGTAAATATATTTTCACTCCAACACCCCTGCGCTGCAGTAGGCAGGATTGTAAATGTGTAATGCTGCTCACATGTATCCCTAAACACAATAATAGTTTAAGTAAAGTTTATTTACTTGTGTAAATCTGAATTTTAGTTTTTATTCCTTAATTTATTACTTTTTATTTAATATATTAAGGTCTAAGTTATAATACTCCGCTGGATACTCCCAAAATAATTCAGCAGAAATCTGCAGATTTTTACCAAAATTCTGCGCAGAAATGGCAAAAAACGTCCGCAGATTCCGTCTGGCCCTAGTAACAGGTAACAAAGTTGTAAATAGCATTCAGTTTGTAGCAGAGTGATCGTTTGAGAGCCGCACACGAAGTATGAACAGCACTTAGCAGATACAATGAATCCGAAAGCATGCACATCATTTAAATCAGGGGTCACATATCTCGGTCCTGGAGGGCTGGTGTTCCTGCAGGGTTTAGCTCCAACTTACCTCAACAAACCTGCCTGGATGTTTCAAGTATACCTAGTTAGACCTTGATTAGCTTGTTCAGGTGTGTTTGATTAGAGTTGGAAATAAAATCTGTAGGGCACCGGCCCTCCAGGAATAAGTTTGGTGAGCCCTGATTTAAATAATCATATATAGTTATGATTGCGACAAACATTTGATACTTTTTTCTTTCATAGCGAAAACACTGTTGTGCATAAAAATAAATGTTTACAGTGTCAGTATAACTACTCTAGCCTATATATGGATTTTACCATTGAATAAAATGGTCTAATAATGTTTTCAATGACAGATTGCAAGCATAGGCCTATATCTCAGACTTAATTCAACATCAGAATTATTAAAAGTAGAATAGAATAATTTATAGAAACCAGTAGACCTACACATAATTTTATTGTTTTACCATATGTTTGGGGAAAAAAACAATAATAATTGCCGACTCATGTTAGCCTTTATTTTACATCTACAGAATCGTGAGAGAATTGTGATCTTTATTTTAAGCAAAAAAAATCGTGATCTTTACTTTAGGCAAAATCATGCAGCTCTAGTGTGCGTCTGCAATAGTAACATCGCTGGATCTGTAATGTCCAATTGAAATTCTAGTTGAGTAAGAGACACAGTTTAAAACATCTTATTGTGGAGTAATTGCAAATTTTAACCATAAAGTTGCCTAAAAATGTATGTTTATAATTCAATATCTCCGTTTATCATGGTGCATTGGCGTTGCCTTTTATTCCACGATTTAATAATTGACTATAATTGAACGGAATTCCAGCGACGCAGTGGCGCAGTAGGTAGTGCTGTTGCCTCACAGCAAGAATGTTGCTGGGTCGCTGGTTCGAGCCTCGGCTCAGTTGGCGTTTCTGTGTGGAGTTTGCATTTTCTCCCTGCATTCGTGTGGGTGTCCTCCGGGTGCTCCGGTTTCCCCCACAGTCCAAACACATGCAGTACAGGTGAATTGGGTAGGCTTAATTGTCCGTCGTGTACGTGTGTGTGTGGATGTTTCCCAGAGATAGGTTCAAGCTGGAAGGGCATCTGCTGCATATAAATGTGCTGGATAAGTTGGCATTTCATTCCGCTGTGGCGACCCCGGATTAATAAAGGGACTAAGCCGAAAAGAAAATGAATGAATAGAATTCCAGTTTCGCACATAAATTTAATAAGCCTTTTTGGATAGAAACATAGCTAATCACGTTCAATTTATCTTTCTGCCCTTTTTGCAAGGACAAGTGAGTTCTAAGTGTGCATATTTGCAAAATATAGTTCGATTCATTCTCTCTTAGCAGAAACCCACACACATCTGTCAAAACCAGGAGGACACACAGGAAATCTCTTAGGGGCTCGTAAAAGTGTAAGTTGTAATTTTGGAATTCATTTACGTAATACAATTTTAATCTTTATTACTTCAGTGAAATTGAGCTATAATTTTAAAGCAAAATGCAAAAGTGTGCTCTTTTATGCAAGATGATTAACTGTTTAACTTAAGGCAACTTGTGTAGCTTATTGTTTCAGAGTTGTACATATCTTTTTCATTTTATTGCCCATGATTAAAAGTAAATGTTTCTTTTTATCCTTTATAGATCACAACATGTTATATTTATCAGGAATTTCCCTGCCTCGTCTGGTTGCCACAATGGTAGTGGCTGGACTCGTCTCTCTGACAATCCTCTATTGCTCACCCTCAACTCCAAAGAACTGTCCATCTCCGCTGCCAAATCTGAAACAAGAAGAAAGTTACTCTACCAAGAAAAGCGACGCTCTGACGAACAAAATAATAGAAGACAAACCTATCCTTCTGTTGTGGTTCTGGCCTGAAAATTACTTCTTTGATTTCAGTGACTGCAAAACCATTTTCAACATTGATGGTTGTCATTTGACGGATAATCGATTACTCTATGAAAAATCAGATAATGTTCTCATTTATCACAAAGCCATCAGCTGGGATCTGTCCAACCTTCCTCCATCGCCTCGTCCTCTGTTTCAGAAGTGGATTTGGTTTAATGTAGAGTCACCGACCAACACCAGAAAAAAACCTGGTCTGGAAAACCTCTTCAATCTCACCCTGAGCTACAGAGAGGATGGAGATATTCCAGTACGAATGCGATTGAAAACCAGAAAGACACCAGCCGATGACTTTGTCATTCCCAAAAAGGACAAACTGGTTTGTTGGATTGTAAGTAACAAAGCAACATATACAGGTGCCGGCACAAGGAACAAGTATTATGAGGAGCTCAGAAAACACATAAATGTCACTGTGTTTGGAAAGGCTTTTGGAAAGTTTTTGGATTACAATCAGTACTATCCTACCCTCGCTAGCTGCAAATTTTACCTCTCCTTTGAGAACTCCATCCACAAGGACTACATCACTGAGAAGTTAAATGGTCCTCTTGCTGTAGGAACTGTTCCTGTGGTTTTGGGTCCTCCAAGAAAGAACTATGAAAACTTTGTTCCTGGAGACGCCTTTATTCATGTGCAGGACTTCCCAGATCCAAAGTCACTGGCAGAATATCTGCTTCAGCTGGATAAAGATGACGTTGCATATCGGAGATACTTCAACTGGAGGAAATATCTTGTGGCAACTCCTCATTTAATACAGCGGACTCAAGAGTTTGTTCTGGCTATATGCACTGCCTGTGATTATGTAGCACACCATAAGGAATATAAAGACGCTCATAATATATACGACTGGTTTTTTCATTAATACAAGTATGATCTCAGATTTGTAAACTGGTAATTCATGGAGGGATTTGCAATACGCTTTATAAGGTGCGTGCGTGTGTCTGTTTTTTTTTTTTTTCACTTTGTTGTAGGGTAGTATTAAATATAACTGCAGGAATTAAAAGTTGGTGTTCTTTTGCCTTTTTCTTTGGAAATAAATATGCTTAAACATTTTGGTTACTCGTTTTAGTTAATATGTTACTTATTGGTATTATGTTGTTGTTAGCATGTTGGTTATTATCAAGTGCAGTGGCACTTGATGAGATCCCAGACCTGTGAAGGATGCCAACCATCGAAAACTGCAAGGACTATACATACTTAATACACAAATACTCTTCCTCGATCATGTACACCTAACCTATATACGCAAGACCTGCTTAAATTTTATATATTTATACCTGCAATTTTTATATATATATATATATATATATATATATATATATATATATATATATATATATATATAAAAATATTCCTATTAGTTGGGAAACTACAATAAGAAAAACTGTGACAAACTTTCAATGTTAGGAGACCCTGATAAGTATGATTTTAAACATTGTGAGTTACAAGGCAATCAGGCATGTCCTCATACTACCATAACAGAGTACAGCTAGCTCATACCCATATGATACAAAAACACCTTGTAAATTACCAAAACCGGTATGTGCACATACTGTACACTTGTTGAAAAATAAATCCTCTGACTTGTGCATTTCTGGCTTCACCAAAGAGGAAAAATAATCAAGACGCAAATCATGTTAGCAGCAGGAGATATAAATCTAACTTCCTTGTACACTTAACCATATTTTAATACTGCACCAGCAGACTGTCTCAATAAGGATGTATAAATGTATGTATACTATCTGCATGATTCACCAAAACTCTCAAAATAAAGCACCATTTGCAGTGTTATTCTAATTTGTTTTGGTGTGACCATTATTAGATTTCCATTTTCTTTCTATAAATATGAATGAATCAAATTTGTCTTCCAAAGTGCATTCAAATCTGCATGAACTTTACATTTTTACAACCTTACTCCTACTATTCACCATTTCTGTTTGTTGTCAACTCATTGCTGTAGCTACGTGGTTAAATATGTTACCCATGCTTAATATATTAATATAATTAATGTTATATAATATATTAGTATTAAAAACTACTAAATTATAAAAATAAAAAAAAAATGCAATCTGACAATTTAACCGGAAAACAAAAACAAACAGGAAGGGCATTTTTAGATTTCAGTTAAACATTACAAGGACAAACCATTTTTAATGGCATGCACAGATGTGTTGTTAACAACTAAACTAGCAATGTGAGCTAACAAAATCATAATTCATGTTATAACAATATCATGTTTCACAAAAGTTTAGCCATGAGTTTTTTTTTCAACCAAAGTTCTTAAATTAACCTTTTGTGCTAATTCTTTAGTTGCAATGGTAAAACTACAATAGAAATGTATAAACAAATGACTCCATGTTTGTCTACACTATACATGTATAGCAGTGTTTCCTCTAGGATTTTTTCCAGCTGTGGCGGCAGGCCTTTTTTTACAAAGAGCTACCAACTCCCTGTGGCGTTATTTCACTGACAAATGTCGTGAGTGCAGTATTAGAAGTCGAGATCGCATTTATGTAATAGCCTAAAGCATGTGGATCTTTTTTCTTGTGCGCCGATTTCCGCTGCTCGTGCACAAAACTTCTTGCACGCCCTCAAATATAAGCCACGTCAAGAGCGAGCAGATCTTCTTGTGCGCACTCAAATAAGCGCTGCTGAAGTGCGATTTAGTGCGTTTATGTCTCCAGCATTTATTCGATTTGCTAGGAATATTTATGAATGTTTTCTAATAGACCTACAGAGCGATATTAATGCGTCCTGAAGTAGTGAAACGGCTACACGTCGTGTTTGCTGGCCTCATGCATCATGCACCTGTCAGTCAGTCGGCACGTAAAGTTAAAGGGTTAAATAAATTACGCACAGCAATACTTATGATGTCTAACGTGAAACATCTTGATGGACAATGGCATTATCATCATAGGTGAAGGTTAATTAATTATTTATGAATAATTAATTGATTCATAACGAATTAAATATTTGTACCCTGCTGTTTCAACTACCTGACCCGCATGATCTCTTTTTTTACTCATAAACATATCATAAATAAATAAAGATAAGTTGCACACAAATTACCACCTGTCAATCACTTTTTCTGCCGGAGGTTGTTCTGTAAAAAAGGTACACAACCTACAGTATCTGAGGTTTTCACTACAATTAGTGTGTGAAAAGTGTGTGAAAGTGAAAGATTGAAGCAGTGTACTGATGCTGTGACATGTTACCTGATAGATTCAAAAGACCGAAGAGTTGTTAAATAGAGACAAGATTAAGTAAACATCATGTTTAACAAATATTTTGAGACGCGATATGTATATATACTAGGGATGTAATGGTATTGTAAATACCGTCATACCGCAATTAGGGTTGTAACAATATACCGGTATGACGGTTTACCACGATTTGAACGTGCACGATTATCATACCATGAACAATTGCATATCAACGGTTTTAACCCTTAAAGACCGAGACAGCCGCCCGCGGCTAAAAATAAGTATTGCTCTTAAATGTTTAATAACTTTTGATCCGCTGATCCGATTCATACAATTCAAAGATTGGCATAAAGAAGAGAATCTCAGCTTTCCAGTGCTGTATCACATAACATTCGCGGACTTTCAGAGGCTCCGGAATCAGTGCGGTTACGTCATCAACATTTGACAACGCTGATTTGACAAAGAAACGCTCGTCACTGTGTCTCCGGACAAATCAGACATGATACATTGATGCATTGTCCCTCCTCCATGCCCAGATTGGTTCAAACTCGCTATATCACAACCAATAAGCATAGGTTTCGCTTTTGTTTGTTGACCAAGCTTTTTGAACAACACGGAATGAGAGATAGGCATACATTTATGCGCGGCTAAATAAAACGCAAAAAAAAAAAAGTTTTGCTTGAAATAATTCTCATACTAAGTACTTTTGCATGCACAACAGCACAGAAACATGACAAAACAGTGACACAGCAAAGACAAACTGCTGCTCGTGCTGTTTTCAAAAGACGCAAATGAAGATGCAGCTGTTTGTCTGCATTGCAGACAACCATATCCAAATCCATATCGATAGACAACCATATCCATGCTGGCACATAAAACCTAGGGATGTTCCATATTGAATCTAGTTTCGTTATGTAACTATTTATAGTATAGTAAATATTTATATCTATTTTTTACTGAGGATTTGCACCATGTTTATTTGGACTTTATTTGGACTTTGACACATTATTTATTATTTTCTTATTTTTATTTGTTCATTGTAAGTGGTGTTGTTTATAGTAACTAAAAATATATTATTTGGAAAAAGTCAAATTTGCTTCACTGTTCTATTATTTTGTAACATTTGTAACATACCGTATACCGCGAAACCGTCAAACCGTGGTATTGTTTTAGACGATTATCATACCGTGAAAAATTCATACCGTTACAACCCTAACCGCAATAGCAATTTTTTTTAATATTACCGTAGTCGCATGACTCGGTAAAACTATAGGTCTTCGGAGAAAATTTGCTACAAACTACAATTCCCATCAGCCCAGGCATGGCCATCATCCTTTGCGGTCTGTTGTCGCTACAGATCCAGTAATGTGGAAATGGAGTGTGCTGCTAGTAGCGGGGGCACTTTTGATCATTTTGGAAGGGCATTTTCTATCCAAGACTAAAAAGGGCATGTGCACTGCACAGGTTGAGCCCTGTGTGTGCACGTGCCTGCAAGTTGGGGAATACGACTAATAACAGTCATGGGGACTAGAGAAACACAGCACACTGTTCAGATTGATGCAGACATTGACTTGTACCGCAAAGAGACCTCTATCTCACTCATGGTTTGTCCTCTCAAGTGGGGGAAAGACAATGCACAACGTTACCCACTGCTGTCAACCTGGGCCAAGTCATATCTCTGTCCCAGAAACCTCAGTCCTAAATGAGAGGGTTTTTTTCTGTTGCAGGGGACATTGTAAAGTGAGTGAGTGAGTGATTAAATGTTGAATGTGATGAGTTTTCAACAATACTGAATTGAAACTTTATTTTTTTACATGGTTTAATAATTTTTTGTTATTAAAATTGAAAAATTGAAGTTCCTGTTTCAAAGCTTACAGATAGATGGCTAATTTGTATGTCATTGACACTTTTGGCACTTTTTTTGGGGGTATTTTCATTAGTTTTGTTTTTCCTGTAAATGATTCAATAAATACCGTACCGTGACATTCATACTGAGGTATTACCGTACTGTGAAATTCTTATACCGTTACATCCCTAATATATACACAACAGTTCTGTCTGGATCTCGAATCTGATTGGCTGATAGCTGTGATATATTTAAGTAATATTAGCATCCCTACACCTTTACCCCTTGTGTATAACTCTGCCCACACAGCGCCAGCAACAAGCAGACACTACAGTTTGACAATATTACTGCTGTTAGACAACAAAATTTACTTTTGAGGCTTTTTTTAGTCGAGAATGTAGTTGTTTAGATTTCAACTGCTGTTTATTTGCCAGAATAGTGCCTATTTTAAAATATTTAAAACTTTTGAGAGACAGCTCGTCGACGACAGTTGACGTTTTCTATCCTCAAGATGGCGACAGAACCGCATAATAAGCCCTTACGCTTAAGAGATATAACAGTCTGATTTCTAACTATAACAGATCAGATTAGTATTAAACTGGTAAGAACACCTGCCAACACTTCCATTTTTCATGGGAGTGTCTCGTATTTCAAACCAGTCTCCCGCAACCATCCCGTTTTTATTTCTTTAAAAAAAAAAAACTCCTGTAATTTCACTCATAGCAGTGCGATATGGCTGTATATCAGCACTGGTGGGACGCAAAGGCACTCGGCCCACGTCCTCGTGCCTCCCTCCAGTGCTGATATACAGCCATATCGCACTATTGCTCATATATATATATATATATATATATGTGTATGCATGTATGTATGTATGTATGTATGTATGTATGTGTGTGTGTATATATATATATATATATATATATACATATATATATATATTTATATATTTATATATATATATATATATATATATATATTTATATATATGTAAATATAAATCAGAAATCAGTTGTAGGGATGCTCCCATTAAACATTTACGTTAATTGTACATGATCAACTGTTAATCGAAGGGATGCATTTACCGATTAATGTTATCATTGTTTTTTTTTGTGTATATCTTTAATGTTTTGCTGCATATATGTGCAACATGTATTTGTTAAAGAGGTCTCCGGGGTTTAAAAATGTCTTCAATCTCAAAATCTAAATATTAGGCCTTTTAAATTTACTGAAATATTGTGTTGTCTACTCAACAAATATTGTTAAGTCTTATTTTAAACAGGTCTTATTTTTCTTTGTTTGGGTTTTGGCCAGACTGGGTAGCAATGCATGAACCATTACCAACAATCTTTTTATTTAAAAAGATAATTTTAACTCCATTTTTCATAATGGTTTATTTATAGATTATAATTTTTTATTATTAATATATAAATGTACAAATTTTACAAATTCCCTTTATCGGCCTAAAATTTTATTCATAATAATCTTAATGTCTTAGTCTATTTTTAAACTTGGTAAAACATGCAGAAACCCTTTGTTTACTCCACAACAGATCTAGTTTTGATGATTAAGTGTAGAACTATGAACCAATCTTTTCTTTTCTATTAAAAAATTGTTATTAATGATTCTTGTAAAAGATTCCGATGGAGGAAATAAAAGCACAGAAGCTGTACGGTAAAATCAGAAGCTCAAGACATTCTTTAAAATAATGATTTCTATTAAAAATGTTGACAGGTTTGTGATATAAGAATAACAGCAGAGCATTAATGAATATTTTCCATGCAGCGATCGATTTGAGGTAACCTAATATTTTTATTTGACGGAAGAAAAAACATAATTGGCAAAACAGCCTGTCGGTTCTTGAAAAGGATTCAGTCAGTGTTTTCGTTTTGTAATCTAAATTAGTCATTTAAGTGAAATATCTATGGCAGGCTTGTTTATTTTGTTCTTTTTATTTAGTTTCTGTTTTTTTATGCTGTTGGAAACACTACAGGTGTGTATAGATGCTCTGTTCTGTATGCGTTTGTTCACATTAAAATAGTATTTTATGCAATATTTAATGCATCACAAATAGGGTTGTAACGGTATGAATTTTTCATGGTATGATAATCGTCTAAAACAATACCACGGTTTGACGGTTTCGCGGTATACGGTATGTTACAAATGTTACAAAATAATAGAACAGTGAAGCAAATTTGACTTTTTCCAAATAATATATTTTTAGTTACTATAAACAACACCACTTACAATGAACAAATAAAAATAAGAAAATAATAAATAATGTGTCAAAGTCCAAATAAAGTCCAAATAAACATGGTGCAAATCCTCAGTAAAAAATAGATATAAATATTTACTATACTATAAATAGTTACATAACGAAACTAGATTCAATATGAAACATCCTTAGGTTTTATGTGCCAGCATGGATATGGTTGTCTGTGGATATGGATTTGGATGTGGTTGTATGCAATGCAGACAAACAGCTGCATCTTCATTTGTGTCTTTTGAAAACAGCAAGAGCAGCAGTTCGTCTTTGCTGTGTCACTGTTTTGTCATGTTTCTGTGCTGCTGTGCATGCAAAAGTACTTAGTATGAGAATTATTTCATGCAAAACTTTTTTTTTGCGTTTTATTTAGCCGCGCATAAATGTATGCCTATCTCTCATTCCGTGTTGTTCAAAAAGCTTGGTCCACAAACAAAAGCGAAACCTATGCTTATTGGTTGTGATATAGCGAGTTTGAACCAATCTGAGCATGGAGGAGGGACAATGCATCAATGTATCATGTCTGATTTGTCCGGAGACACAGTGACGAGCATTTCTTTGTCAAATCAGCGTTGTCAAATGTTGATGACGTAACCGCACTGATTCCGGAGCCTCTGAAAGTCCGCGAATGTTATGTGATACAGCACTGGAAAGCTGAGATTCTCTTCTTTATGCCAATCTTTGAATTGTATGAATCGGATCAGCGGATCAAAAGTTATTAAACATTTAAGAGCAATACTTATTTTTAGCCGCGGGCGGCTGTCTCGGTCTTTAAGGGTTAAAACTGTTGATATGCAATTGTTCATGGTATGATAATCGTGCACGTTCAAATCGTGGTAAACCGTCATACCGGTATATTGTTACAACCCTAATCACAAAACAGACACACATTTTTTTATCAAATAATAATTTAATATTAATATGACCGGTTAATGGTTGTTGGTTAGGAAAGTAAATTAGATTGGTTATTAAAACTATTAGAAATGTGTTAAACTTATTCGTTAAACAGAAATCTGTGAAAAAATATATACTGAGGGCTAATAGTTCACGAGGACTAAATTCTAAGTTGTCTGAAGTTGTCTGAAGTGTGTGTGTGTGTGTGTGTGTGTGTGTGTATGGGTGTGAGCTAGTTTACTCCATTACAATGGTTTTAGGAGATGCCGGATGCCTGAGTTAGGAGATGCCGGATGTCATTGTAATTCAAAGGCTTAAGCATACTTGATGGTGTTTTCACATTTAATGTCAGGGACAGGTTTGCTGTGACGCTTGGGTTTAGGGGTGGGGTGGGTTTGTCTTTTCACTGCATAAAATATTGTTAAAAATACATTATATCTATGAAAGAGTCCTTGTAAACCACAGATATCAATGTGTGTATTTAAAGTAAACATAAGTAACCAAATTGTTATTTTTTTACACTTATTTATTTCCACAGAAAAGGCAATAGCTTAACATATGGAATTCATGCAGTTACTGAATGCATTTGGTCTCAATTGCTAAATACTTCATGCAAAAAAAGAACAATCACATGCAGACACCTTATAAAATGTATTCAAATTCTTTCAGCTTGCAAACCTCAGATTATATTTACATATTATTGAAAAAACCAGTCGTATATATCATGAGCTTCTTTATATTCCCTATGGTGTGCTACATAATCACAGGCAGTGCATATAGCTAGAATGAACTCTTGGGTCTGCTGTATTAAATGAGGAGTTGCCACAAGATGTTTCCTCCAATCAAAGTATCTGCGATAGGCAACGTCATCTTTATCCAGCTGAAGCAGATATTCTGCCACTGACTTTGGATCTTGAAAGTCCTCCACATGAATAAAGGAGTCTCTAGGATAAAAGTTTTCATAGTTCTTTCTTGGAGGACCCAAAACCACAGGAACAGTTCCTACAGAAAGAGGACCGTTGATCTTCTCTGTAAAATAGTCCTCGTGAATGGAGTTCTCGAAAGAGAGGTAAAATTTGCAGCTAGCGAGGGTAGGATAGTACTCATTGTAATCCAAAAACTTAGCATAAGCCTTTCCAAACAGAGTGACATTTATGTGTTTGCTGAACTCTTCAAAAAACTTCTTCCTTGTGCCCACACCTGTCCATTCAAGATTGTTACTTACAATCCAGCAAACCAGTTTGTCCTTTTTTGGGATTACAAAATCCTCCTCTGGTTTCTTCCTGGTTCTCAAACGCAACCGTACAAGAATATCAGAATCATGTCTGTAGCTGAGGGTGAGATTGAAGAGGTTCTCCAGACCGGGTATTTTTGCTGTGTTGGTCGGTGATTCTACATTAAACCAAATCCACCTCTGGAACCGAGGACGAGGCGATGGGGGGAGATTAGACAGATCCCAGTGGATGCCTCTGTGAAAGATGAGGACATCGTCTGATTTGTCGTAGAGTGATCTATTATCCGTCAAATGACAACCATCAATGTCATAAATGGTTTTGCAGTCACTGAAATCAAAATAGTAATTTTGAGGCCAGAACCACAACAGAAGGATAGGTTTTTCTTTTGGTGTACCAGTTGGAGAGTCACTTTTCTCGCCAAAGTAACGTTCTATGTATTGTTTCGGGTTTGTTTGTGGAGCTGGACAGTTCTTTGGAGTTGATGACCAGCAGTAGAGGATTGTCAGAGAGACTAGTCCTGCCACTACCATCATAGTAACCAGACGAGGCAGTGAAACTCCTGTTAAAGTTACCATTTTGTGATCTAAAGAAAATCATTAAAAGAAATGTTTAGTTTTGAACAGGAGCAGTAAAATAATAAAAAAAAATTAACAACATTGCTTTATTAAGGTGTGTAAACTTTAAACAATAAGCTACATTAATGACTTGATTCATAACATCATTAATAAAAATATTAATACATAATAGTTAATCATGCATTAAAAAATAAATGATCAGTTTGCTTTAGACTTAAAGCCTTTAAAATTTTACTTAATAAAGATTACAGTTGTATTACACAAATCAATTTCAGAATTACTCCTTACCTTATTTAAGATGAGAGAAGGGAAGAGAGAAGCTCCTATGGACAGATGTGTGTGAGCTTCTACCAAGAGAGGAAATGTGTGTGACTGTATTCACGTTTTTAAGATCTGGCTTGGAAGCCAATCATTATTCAGTAGGTAAATAATAGTCACGTGTCCACTTTTGATGCATTTGGCTCCATTTTATAAACAAAACACCCAAACCGGTTTAGCAGCAACTGGCAGTTTGATTGGCAAAGTATGGCATCTGCCTTAACTGGAGTTATAATTATCATTTCAACAACATTGTCATTTAAAGCAACCGTTTTTGATGCACTTTACAATACAATTTAGTGTACAGGGCATCTGTTGATTTTACATGTGCACTTTGCTTGTATTTGGGTTTAAAAGTCTTGTGTGTTTGTGTGTGTTTGCTTATAATAAGGTTTTCTTTTATGAATAAATAATATCAGACCAAATAATAGAACAAGGTATCTAACTATTTCACTTGTAAACCACCATTTCTAAACTATGCTGGAATGCATTTCCAAATAAATCTCAAGCCAAGACAACCATAAAAATAAAGTTGACTATACAAATGTCATGAACTTCACAAAGATTGTTAGCCAATTAAAATACTTATAGAAATGGGCATAAATTTAGTTGTCTACTCTAGACATGGTAAGTTGGCACAATAAGCTTGTCACAGCTCATTGCTAAAATCTAATGACCACACAGTTCAGGATAGGAATGATAACTGGGTTCAAGGTTTGCCGTGGTTTGAAAAAGTCAAGGTTTTAAAACTGAACATTTTCTGTTGTTCCGTTTTTATGGTATATGTAAAAACATTTTTATGTGTTTATTATTTACTATTTTATTTCGTTATTTTAAAAGCAACTGTATCTCCCGCAGACAAAGACCCTACATATCAGGGGTGAGGCCAGAAATTTTAAAGAGGGTCGACCTTGGTGAAATAGGCTAGAGCTCAGCGCCTACGCTTGTTGTAATAATAAAAAAACCACTGTTATTATAAAATAAAGATTTTGGCTATTTTTAGGAATGTCCAAACAACTGAGTACAATTCCTCCTGCTTAACTAAATGTGCATTATGCACACAGATTTGGGAAATATGTTTTAGGCTACATGTATACTAGGGGTGTGAACCTATAATGGTCTCACTATTAGGGCTGCAACTAACAATTATTTTAATAATCGATTAATCTGTCGATTATTATTATTTTTTTTTTGGTTAATCGAATCGGATAAAAATGCATTAATTTCCAACCGTTTATTCAAAAAAGCTCATCCCTGAGCTATAACGCGAAATAGTCGTCGCCATGTTTACTTGTGGCTGAACGTTTGCCTCATTAATAGAAAGCAGAGCACGCAGAAAAAAAACAGCGAAAAAAAGAAGCACTTTTCCGACGATCCCTTACTGAGAGCTCTGCTCAGCGCTAGACACCCCTCCAAAGATTTTCTCAGTTGACGCTCTAAAGGTAAACGAGCTAACGGTAACTTGTCTTGCTTGTCAAGCTGGATAATGAGTAAAACATCAGCACCAGGGATGTTCCCCACTTAAAAGCGGAACAAAAGTAGGACACTGCTGTTGAACTTCTTTCTTCCTTATACCTGTCTATGAGATGCCGAACTCTGTATCAGTGCTTAAGAGACTGAGTTCACTCTGCTCCATGCTGAACTAAAGTCTTGTTGTTGTTTTTTTTAGTAATTAAACTTCCCTGTGTCGCGTGTAACCACGAATTGATTATGAAATTCGTTGCCAATGCTTTTAGTAATCGATTTCATTGATTCGTTGTTGCAGCCCTACTCACGATTGAGTTCAGAAACTATTACTTTGTCATCGTTTCTGTTCAATTCGATATCACAGTTCATCATGATGCATTGCTTTCCATACACAATTTTTTATTTTACTTCACACAAATACATTGTTTTCTTTTAAAGCAGTAAGCTTTATGAATGGAACTGTTCATTTTACCTGCTCAAAGAATTTACGGTGCTTGTGTTAAACAAAAAGTACAGGCACAGAGGACAACATGAGCATTTAAGACATAAGATACACAAAAATAATTCTTTTCTGTTCAAGTCTTATATAATATTAGGGAATATAGTTCCTTTGCATTTGCTTGTTTTGTTCTGTATTCTCACCATGAATGAGATGTGGCATTTAAAGTCTGTTTTAAGTAGCATAAAATATTAAAGAATTTAGAGAGAAAGAGAGTTCATGATAACAAACTGCTTCATTGGCATTTGCTAGACACTTGATACAATGCACTTAGTCTACTGTAAAGAGGCTTTGGTTGAATGTATGTTGTCATAACATCACATAATGGGCCTGTTTCAGTAAGGAGTTTCAACCAACTTTGAAACTTGAAGATTAAAAGATTAAAAACTTTTTGGTTTCAGGACAGCGGATCTGAGTTTGGTCAATCAACTTTGAGTAGACCAACTCTGAGTTAAGCGCGCACACCGCGACTATGAAAGGCATTATCAATGCAGCGCAGATATTACTGAAGCAGCATCTTAAAAAAAGATCACCATTTTTTTTCTTTCTTTTTTATATTTACGTATAATAAAATAAGTAATGTTATGTGTGACGTTTAAAAAAAATCTTTATACACGTTACCACTTTTATACACGTTGATCAGTTTTAATAATTTAAAAGTGCACTTATTTGTCTGCCTTTTTTTATTGATTAAGTGGTTGCAGTTTGATATGACATCAAGACTGTAAGCAAAACTAAACAATAGTTTTTAGAAAGAATAATAATCCATTAATCTACTTGTCCCTGTTGAAGGTCAGTGCATTTAAGCTAATTATTTATTAAAAAGGGACAAGTTATTCTTGTACGTGACTTTGTTCTTTGTGTGACTGAAATGTAGGCAATGAAGGTAGATTTATGTGCAAAACTGAAATAATGCATAAAAGATGTTCGAATTAAGCAGCGTTTTCATCCAACAAGCCAAAGAAAACAAAATCGTCACTTCCTGATTAAACGGGCACCAAATATCAACAGTAAAAGCAGAATGTACTGCGGTAGAAGCTGCTTCAATCTTTTCTAAATGTACTTGTGCCTCAGAAGACAATGCTGACACGCAATGAACACGTGGGGGTGTTTGAAGCCATGAGACACGGAGAACAGACGCTCTTTACATGCTCCAGATGCTCTGGAGGTCATTAATAACAGGGCTCGAAATTAACCTTTTTGCTTGGTAGCACCGGTGCTCCTAACTTAAAAAATGTAGGCGCATCAGCCATAATTTAGTCGCACCCACCAATTATGAGCACCGTTACTTCAAGTTTTATATAAACAGATTTATTGCATTTGAAATCAACAGTAATCAAACTGTGAAGCAAAAAAAAAAAAAAATATATATATATATATATATATATATGCAAGCGTGAGGAAAATATGTCTCAACGAAATCCTGTTATCACAAGAACATGCATTTTATAACATAACTGAGTGACTAAAGCCTGATTTATACTTCTGCGTCAGGTGACCGGCATAACACACGGCGCATGCAACGCGCGTGGCTGTGCATTTATACTTCTGCGCGCTGTCTCTGTTGGTCTGCATTAACACTTCCGAAACGCTTGTTGGCAGTGAGATGTAAATGTTCCTGTGTCGAGTTTCTTTGCTGCTTTTTGCTTTTCCTGAACACTTCCTGAATGTACAAGTGGCTCAAACTTGCTCATTTTGAGGCAGGAACCGGCGGACGTGCAACAACTTTAACTATGAGGTAAACACAAAACAAAACTTTCCATCCGGAGCTCCTTCACGGGACTCTTGGAAACAATCACTCGCGCGGCTCTCGGTCCCGCCCAAACTCATCAGCGCTACCAAGCCGACCAATCACAGAGCTTACGCTACGCGTCGTTGTGACGTGTAGTTACATTTTTTGAGAGGTGCACGTCAGTGACGGCGACTGCCACGGCGAAGGGCTATGCGTCAGCACCGTAGCATACGCCGGCGTTTGACGCAGAAGTATAAATCAGCCTTAAAGCATACTCCAGCCCTGCACACACTGCTTGAATGAATCTGTTAACGATATAACTGTGCTGTTCTCACAAGTGCTGTCTGATATTGCACTGATGCATTTGACATGTACTGTACCTTATTATATGCATACATGTTAATAGCAACACCGGCCTTTTCATGAGTAGCAATATTAGCTTAGTCAGTGTAAGCCCGTTGCGATGCCGATGGTGTACGTGGTGTTAAATTTTACATATAACTGTCCCTTGCACGGCGGACAGCATCTGGCGATTATATGAGGGATTAAACAGAAGCTCTCGTGCTAACGTTAAATTGGGAAACAGTTACCTGAAAATTCCATCCCACAGACTTTTTATAGCGGACTTGAAGCCAATGGAAGTCTTTTATTCACTCTTGGAAAAGTGTAGATGGTGGATTAACATTCAGCACATGATCACAACTAAGATGTGTCATTATTTATAACTTTCGATGCCATGGTTTTTAAAACAAAATCTGTCAGTGTCATTTTCATTCTCATCTTCAGCGCTTTAGTTTTTCTCTGTCATCCCAAGCTAGAAGGCATTGACTGAGTGATTGATAGCTGATATTAACCAATCATACGCGTTCAGTGCTAGAGCAGTGGGCCAATAAGAAGAGCGCGAAGGCGGGGCAAGCATTACGGACTTGGCTTTGTTTACTGCAGCAAGTTGACATGACAACTGTTTTAAACCACTCCTGAGCGCTGCGTTTCGCATTTCAAGTGCAGACAAAGAGCTTAGAGATGCATTCTGCGTGAATGTCTCCCAAATCCGTGCACGTGGTGAACATTTTGCAGTAAAAACTGGTCGCACACAACAATTTTAAGCACAGGCAGAAGTGCTCCCAAAAATATTTTGAGGTCGCATAGATAAAATTTCAGGCGCATATGCGACCAAAATGGTCGCAATTTCGAGCCCTGAATAATCAACATTAATACTGAAACTGAGGCTTTTTAGAATGAATGAGCTAAACAACATTTAAGATGTGTTACAGTGTGCTCAGCCTGCTGGTTTGTCCATT